AGGAGTTGGAGGCTGCGGTGATCCATGATTGTGCCACTGCACTCCAGCCTGGGTGACAGATTGAGACTTTGACCCCAAACAAAACAAAACAAAAAACAAAAACAAACAAAAAAGAACTCAGATCAGGCATCACCTTGTTTAAGAAAGTTCCCTGACCTCTGTCTGGGCTGGATAAAGTCCCTTGTTCTGTATTCTTTTAACATCTTGCATGTATAGATGAATAGCTTACATATATAGACTTTAAAACTGTCTTAGTGTCACAATGTATTTACATTTATGTTTTAGTCACTCTCACTAGAGCATTAGCTTTGGGACAGAAATCATGTGTGAGGCATTTTTGCGTTCATAATGTCTAATGTACTTTTACTGAATTAGTGTCTGACCAAATGACTAAATGATTGATTTTATTGCTAGTGTCAACTTTTCTAGATATTGTAAACCTAAGAGCATTGTATATTTTTTCAATTTGGAGGGCTATTGTATTTGGTCAATAATCATAAGACTGAAAGACATAGGTGATCTTTCATCTTTCTGTTGTTGTATAGTACCACAAACTGTTCCCAGTGATCATTTACCATATTTTAAAAAGTCATAGCTACACATACATTTTAACATGGATTAAATAGATTGTACATCTTTATTACTTAAAGAGTTGCATAGAATTTTGAGTTTTAGGTGAATGCTAACCTTTTAAACCCATTCTATTCTGAAAGTATAAATTTAGTGCTTTGTTATCAGGTATTGTGGTTATTCATGCTGTGATTTTTATTTGTACTGCTTATGTTTATTCTGGAAGGCTTTAATGATTTAAAATATTAAATATTAAAGCTTTTTTTTTTTTTTGATTTGGAGTCTTTATCCATTGCCCAGGCTGGTGATATGCAGTGGCATGCTCCCGGTCACCACAGCCTCTGCCTGCTGGGCTCCAGCAATCCTTCTACCTCAGCCTTCCAAGTAGCCAGAACTACCAAGGGTATTAGCTTTGACCTTAAGCACCCATTATAGAGTAGCCAACAAACATCCACAATTCTTAGCCCGCATAACCACATCCGCGCTAATTTTTGACTTACTGTAGAGACAGGGTCTTGCCAAGTTGCCCGGGC